CATAATAAATTCCACGTCACTACTTGTAGCCTTTTTCAAGAAACCTTTCTTTGTACTCTTCAACTTTTCCTTTGTAATTGGTCTTTGTTTTATAGACCCATTTGACACCAATTTCTTTCTTTCCCTTTGGAACACTTGTAAGCTTCCACATGTCATTCTTCTTGATTGAGTTGATTTCTTCATCTATGGATTTACTCCACTTACTTTCTTCGTTAGCTTCTTCATATGTTACTGGGTTACATTCAACCATAAAAAATAGTGAATAATAAAATGGAGTATCAATTGGACTTGTTGCATCATAGATGTTATCTAGACTTCTCATTTTTTGGTGGTGCTCCCCCTGAACTGCTATTGCTGCTACTTTGTGATGTTGATGGTGTTGATGCAAGAGTTGTTAGACCGGGGCTTGATGGAGGAGACCGATGATCATTTTCATCTTCAAATAATTGTCCTTAAATTTGTCTTTCTTTATTGCTCCATCTTCAATAATTTGTTTCATCAAATTCAACATCTTGTGAAACGATTAACATTTTTGTCAATGGGTTGTATAACCTGTATGCCTTAATGCTTGTATAATAACGAATGAAGATTCACTTTTCACTTTATTCATCTAACTTCTTTATCTTTTGATCAGGAACTTGGGCATATGCAATACCCAAAAATTCTTAGGTGCCTAACTGCTGGTTTACAACAACACCATGCTTCATTTGGAGTCTTGAATCCTACACTTTTATTTGGAAAAAATTTAAACAAATAAACAACACATAGAATAGATTTTGCTCAAAATGTTCTTGGCAGTTGTTTACCCTTCACCATGCTTCTCGCCATATCAAGAATTGTACGATTCTTCCTTTATGTAATGCCATTTTTATGGCATATATTCTATTGCTAACTTATGAATGATCCCATGGTCTTTACATAAGTCATTAAATAAATTTAATGTATATTCTCCTCCTCTGTCAGATTTGACTATCTTCAAATATTCCCTAATTTTCTTTTCGACCATTGCTTTGAATTCTTTAAATTTATCAAAAGCTTCTAATTTTTCATTGATTATGTACACCCAAAATTTTCTTTTGAAATCATCAATGAATATTAGGTAGTACCTGTTTTGACCGAGTGAAGGTATGTCGTATGGTCTAACAATATCTGTATGAACAAGCTCTAATGACCTTCTAGCTCTCCATAATCTTTCAACTGGAAAACTTTGTCATTGTTGCTTTCCTTTGATACATGCTTCACATAAATGATCTTTGGTTGATTGATTTCGAGGAACCCATTCACAATCTTTGCTTTTGATAACATCTTCAAACCAGAAAATCCAAGGTGACCAAACCTTAAATGCCACAACCATGAGTCATCTTTAATGAAAGTCTTGAAAAACATTTGAACTTCTGTTTGTATGTTAATAGAGAAAAAACGATTCTTTCACATTTGAACTTTAGTAATCAATTATTGAAATTGATTTTTGACTGTAAGAGAATTATCTCTCATGAGAATATCATATCCTTTTTCAAGAAGCTAACTAAGGCTGGTGATATGTAGGGAAATTTAGGGTTTGTGGTGGAGATTTGGATACCAACTTGGATCGTGATATCACTTTCCGAACTGATATTTCTACCCTATGCCTGGGTTACAAGAAATTCAACCTAGGATAATCCAAGTGGACACTTATGTTTCTAGGCACAAAAAACGTAAGCCAATATGCTAGAGGATTCTATGAAAGTATGATGATAATAAGAGCTTAAGATCGTAACCCTCTTCTGGAGAGGAAGAGTTCTTTATATATTAAACATGATTAGGGTTTCATTAAGGTTGGACCGTCATTAGTTGCTTTGGAAGCAAGTAATGTCAATCTGGATTTACTGAGGATTTAGGGTTACCAGCCAGGGGCTCTTCCCCTTGGACCCCGCTAGGGGCGCTGCCCCTAGACCCCGCCAAAGGGGCGCTGCCCCGGACCCCCAAATAGTCGTCGAACAGGCTTCTGACTCAATCTTATACATGTGTGCACTCCGCACAACCCCGTACATATATTAGAGTACAAATCATGAAGCCTCTTAGCTCACATATTGGTTCCAGTTACTTAAACTTACATGATGAAAACTAAAATCACCAACATGATATTCATTTTCAAAGTAGGTACATAATAAAACATTATGAATATACTTTTTATCACCATTCTTTGAGAGAATCATAATTGTACCTTTGCTTTAGACAATAATATTTGACAAATCACCAAAGCTAACGTCTCCCTTAACTGTCTCGTCCAACTTCAAAAATAGATCCTTATAACCACACATATGGTTACTTGCACGATTATAAAAATACCATTTTTTTTACATTCTTCATCCCCTTTGTATGTAAGATATACATCAGGCCCAACATCTTTATCTTTATCTTCAGTTGTTGTTGTAAAATGACTTCTTTCTTCTACTTTTGGATATTTGCATTCATAACTAAAATGGCCATAATTATTAATGTTATAGCATTGAACCTGAAATTTGTCACTTTGTTGTTAAAACCTACATCTTCTTCTTCCTCTGCTTTGAAATCCTTGACCACGACTAGAGGGCTGATTTCTTTCATTTTCTTGACTTCCGTCAAAAGATTCTCTACCACGACCTCTTCAACCAAGTCCACCTTTCTAGCCACCTCTATAACCACGCCGATTTCCTCTGCCTCTTACATTGTTGTTGTTGGATTGGTTTTCATTAATTAACATCTTGATTTGTAAAGCTTGCTCCAACTTACCCGTATCATCATTTTGATTCATCTTGTGTTCATGGGCTTGAAGACTACCTACGAACTCATCCTTGGAAATTATGGACAAATCTTTTATTTCTTCAATAACTGTTACCACATAATCAAATTTTCTGATTAATGAATGGAGTAATTTTTCCATTAGCCTTACTTCATCAAGAGCTTCTTTGTTTCTTTTCATCCCGTTCGCCATCATTTTCAAACAAGTAACATAATCATTTATGCTTTCTGAACTTTTCATCCTCGACGTTTCAAATTCATCTTGAAGTGATTGGAGTCGTACCTTTTTTCGCCTTTTTGGCTCCTTGGAGCACTTTCTGCAGAACCTCCCAAGCTTTCTTCAATGTCTTCGCATATGAAATTTTCTCAAAGGTTGATTCATCAGCACCTTGGAAAATAAAAAATAGAGCTTTTTTATCCCTTTTCTGGGACTCCTTTAACTTCACCTTTTGAGCATCTGTTAAAGCTGCTTCAACAATTGCATCTGCCAGCTCGATGTATCCATCTTCTACTATATGCCAAATATCTTGAGAACCGAGTAACACCTTCATTTGGATACTCCAATTCCTGTAATTTGTTGCCGTCAATTTTAGGATATGCGATTGAATCATATTCGTCATCGTCACGTCGTTGAATATAACCTCGGCCATGATACCACTTGTTGGTGGTTATAAGGAAACAAAGACGATAGACTAAAGTTAGTCACACAATAACAACACGACTATTTTAAAGGATAGTCACTACTCTTTTTTTTTATATCACTTACTTCACATTTCTCATACATCCCTCTTACATTTTTCTTACAAACATTAGGTCCTTACAGGAACCAAAACTAAGGAAATACTTAACAAAGAAGTAAAAATAAAGGTTAAGTAAACTTAATAAGAAAGTATTCTTAATAGCTAAGTAAAACTTAATGGTTAAGAATACTTTATGACTAAGAAAACTTTATAACTAAGAAAACATGATTAATTTATACAATCTATACAACTCTATCATTTTTTCCTACAATGTATTGAACTCTACAGAGTTCAATAGAATGTTACAAAATATAATTTATAGTAAATTTTAAAGAATTAAAAACTTTCATTTTTTCCATTGAATTCAAAATCTATAGACTGTCAATGTGACATCTCATAATGGTAGAGTTTCATCCATTGAAGACTTAACATCTCATTCAAGTCTCTCATTGAACTTACAAATGCTCTAAGAAAGTTGTTGATAACCATTTCTTAGACTTTTTTTTAACCCCTTTGTGTTGATTTTGTTGACTAAGTTAATAAGATGCCCATTGCGCAGCCCACTATAGTGTTTTTGCACTCATAAAACGATTTTTCAATCCATTATTGATTTTGCAGCCCGTGTTATTGGTTTCGCAGCTCAGCGAAATTAATGACTGTTGATGATCTTGTTAAAATTTTACTATTTTAAAGAAAAATGATAAAAAGATCTTCCATAATATTCCCTTTCACTAATTTGCATGGATTTATTTGCTTTTTGTTTATGTACGGAAAAGAACCGAAGTTTCCATTCTTGTATATGAATACCGTGCTAGCTATTGGTCTGTCGCATGAATATGGAATGTCCAGCCAAATAACTGCAACTCATCTTTCATTTCTTTATCACTTTTCAGGGTTTTCTTCTGATAATATTTCTCTCGAGTGTTCTTGAAAAAGTTGCAATTTGCTGGTGAGTATCCTTCTTTAATCTTTCATTTGAATCCTACTTACTTAACTATGTTTTTACTGTTACATTGTCCGAGTTCATGCGTTTTACCAAATGGATCTCCGATATATATCCACTCACAACACTGCCTCTACTCACTATAAAATCCAAATGATCTTGATTCTTGTTCTTAATTTAAACATTTGAAAAAAAAAACTAGGATATGATTGATTGATTGTTGGTTTTTTGTGTTAGGGGGATATGATGGAGCAGATGGATTGCACCATCGTTGATACAAATACGATATCCCTAAAAACCAGTATTCTCTCCAGATACGATGAGGTCTTTCGTGTTCATACTTTAGGTTAGTTTCTTCATTCAATAAAAGAAGATATTCTTTTAACAGATCGAAGATCTGGTCATCTAATAAATGCCAACTTGTACTTATTCTGCGTTAGCAATAATCTTTGATCCGAACTTGATGAAATGATGGAAACGTGTCTTTATGATTCCTAATGTTTTTACGACATCCTTGATCGAGAAAAATGTTGCGTTTTTTATTAGATATAAAAAAGATGAATGAGAAGATAACTGTTGACTGTGAGAAGTTTCTTCAATGCTATGAAGAAAGCAGTTCGCAAATGGAAGCCTCAAGCAAATCTCTGCAACAACGGGAATACGAACTTACAAAAAACGAACTGAAGCTTCAAAAGTCAAAGTCAAAGCAACAACTCAAGAAGAGAGTGGTATACAATACTCTTTTGTTAATTTACTTCATGAACATTTTCTTGATCAATCATGTTGTATATGTTTACCATGTTAGCAAGAAAGATTGTCATCCTGCAAACAACTAGTCAAAGAAAGCTGCACTTCTAGGAAACTAGCGGAGGGTATAACGGTAATTTCAAAAACACAGACCATGGTTCGTTGATTTTTACGAATTTCAGAAAGTTGTATAATCTGATCAGATCCATATATATTTTCAGGATGAACTAGTGATCCTTCAAAAGAGAAGAGCTGAACTGGAATCCCAACTCAAAGCTGTCAATTATGAAAGTCTAGAAAGCGAGATTACACAACTTGAAACTGCATTACATGCTATACAAGAAGATTACTATACAGACCTTCAAGAAAAGATGAAGAATTTACAGACCGAATTGATACAGAAGAATGAAAAACTTCAAGAAATGAAAAATAATGAAAACTCTTTTCGTTCAGCTATCCAGACAATATAAAATAGTAGAAGACCAGAAAATATTTTCTTCTATTGTATTCATTACAGAAAACACACAATATATATATAGAGGAAGAAAATAAGAGATCCTATCTTCAAGGCTAAGAAAAGGAAACACAATAAAGGATAGAAAAATACGTGAATAAGAAAAGGAAAGAATCAATGATTGGAATAATCCAAAACTCCCCCTCAAGTTGGAGCATGAAGGTTGCAAATGCCCAACTTGTTGAGTAGAGATTGAAGATGTTTAGCTCCCAAAGCTTTGGTAAACAAATCCGCAACTTGAGACTTAGTGTCGATGTGTAACGGTTTCACTTCTTTCGACTCGACGCGTTCACGGACAAAATAACAATCCATTTCAACATGCTTGGTACGCTCGTGAAATACCGGATTGTTTGCAATGTGTTTCACAGCCATGTTGTCACACAATAGTTGAGTAGGATCACTTTGTTCTAGACCTAATTCTTTTAGAAGCCATCGAAGCCAAATGACTTCACTAACCGTAGTTGCCATTGCTCGATATTCAGCTTCCGCGGAAGAGCGAGACACAACAGACTGCCTTTTCGATTTCCATGATATCGGGGCTCCCCCCAGAAGTAATAAGTAACCGTTCCTCGATCTTCTCGTATCTGGACACCCAAGCCAATCTGAATCAGTATAGGCAATTAAATTTGCTTCACCCTCCTTTGGAAGTAGTATCCCCTGTGCCGGTGTAGCTTTTAAGTATCTCAACACCCTCATAGCAGCATTCATGTGACTTTCACGAGGATCCGTCACAAACTGGCTTAAAATGTTGACTGAGTAGGTAATGTCGGGCCTGGTTGCTTGTAAGTATAGCAATCTTCCTACAAGTCTTCTATATTTATTTGTATCCACTCGCTTATCTTCATCATTCTTTTGGAGTTTAGCATTTTGCTCCATGGGAAAAGCGCTAGGCCGACACCCCATCATTCCACTATCCTCCAGGATATCAAGAATATACTTCCTTTGATTGAGCACTATTCCGTCTCGAGTACGAGTCACTTCGATACCTAAGAAGTATTTCAAGGGGCCTAGATCCTTAATGCTAAACTTCTCATTCAAGAATGTTTTCGTTTCTTTAATCTTTTTCACATCATTTCCCACAATTATGACATCATCTACATATATGAGTGCCGCCACGAATGAGTTTTCCGTTTTAAAGATGAATAACGAGTGGTCTGCTTGAGACTGTCTGAAACCGATCATATGTAACGATGAAGTAAATTTTTGATACCAATTCCTTGAAGCCTGCTTGAGACCGTAAAGGGATTTTCTGAGACGACATACTTTGTTTTCCTTTCCTTTCTCAAAACCTTGTGGGATTTTCATATAGACCTCTTCGTGTAATTCTCCGTGTAAGAAGGCATTGTTTACGTCAAGTTGATTGATAATCCAATTTTTCTTGACCGCCACTGCTAAAAGGGTCCGAACGGTGACGAGTTTGGCTACCGGGGCGAACGTATCATGAAAGTCAATGCCTTCTATTTGAGTGAAACCCTTTGCTACTAGTCTCGCCTTGTATCTTTCGATCTCGCCGTTCGGTTTGTATTTTATTTTATATATCCATTTTGAATCAATCGCACGCTTCCCTTTCGGCAATTCTTCAAGAGTCCATGTACCGTTTTGTTCAAGGGCTCGTATCTCCTTCTTCATGGCTTCTCTCCAATTTACATTTTTTACGGCTTGGCTGAAACTCTTTGGCTCATTATTGGTGCTGATTCCCGCTAGGAATGCTCTGTGAGAATGAGTGCAATTTTTGTAAGAAATAAAATTGGCTAAAGAATGTACCGTAGAGGAGTCTCGATTGGTGACGGGTGTTGCTTGGTCTATGGATGATGGCAAGTTAACAATGTAGTCATCGAGGTAAGTCGGCCGCGACCTGTTCCTTCTTTCTCTAGTGAGTGGAGGATTTTCAACATTAATTTCAACCGAATCTTCTTCATGCGTGTGTGAATTATTTGACTCCATGTGCATGCCATTTGAATTTACATTCACACTGTCAACGTTGTCTTGCATGGGAAAATCATCTTCATGCATATTTTGTGGAGCATTAACTTCTTCATGGCCCACTGGTACACTTTGATCATCTTCTTTATTAGTGACGGTTTGTTCATCGGTAAAGGTTTTATGATGCCATGTGGGTGCTTCGAATATATCGCCTTCTTCATTTTCAATTTGTATTTTTTCTTTACCATGGGGAAACATATTTTCAACAAATTTTACGTCTCTTGATACCACCATTTTCTTGTTCTTTATATCAAAAATCTTATATCCCTTTGTGCCATGCGGGTAACCCAAGAAAATTCCCGGTCTCCCCCTTTCCTCGAACTTATCTCCTCTCGTTTCTGTGTTGCGATAATAAGCAAGACAACCAAAAACTTTCATGTGGTCATAACTTGGTTTTTGGTTGTAGACAATTTCGTATGGGGTTTTGTTGTCAATCGTCTTGGAAGGGAGACGATTTATGATGTAAGCTGCCGTTAAGATGCACTCGCCCCAAAAGGTAGAAGGTAACTTTGCTTCAAATCGTAGAGCTCTTGCTGTCTCGAGTAAATGTCGATGTTTTCGCTCAACAACCCCATTTTGTTGAGGGGTATGGGGACAAGTGGTTTCGAGAAGAATTCCTTGTTCCGTGTAAAAGTTCACCATGCGATTCGAGGTGAATTCCCCCCATTATCACACCGGACCCTTTTTACACATTTATTAAATTGAGTTTTGATCATTTTACAGAAACCAATCAAGCAATCACTTGCATCGGATTTATGTCGTAAAAGAAAAACCCATATTGATCGACTAAAATCATCAACGATCGTAAGAAAATAATTTGCATGCGTAAGTGAGGGCGTTCGGTATTTTCCCCATATATCGCAATGTAAAAGTTCAAAACACTCTGTTGATTTGATAGAACTAATAGAAAAGGGCAATCTAGTAAACTTTGCCCTTGCACAAGAGTCACAAACCATATTGTTCGAGCTTAAAGAAAAAAAATCAAAATGTGAAAGTTTGCTATGTGAGGCATGTCCCAAGCGTTTGTGCCATACTTCACCTGTTGTTGCTAAGGCTTCTCTTTTATTTTCTTTGACTTTCATCCGGTATAGACCTCGTTGGCAACTACCCGTCCCAATCAATCTCCTCGAACTCAAGTCCTGCATAACAAAAAAATCCGGGAAGAATGTTACGGCACATTTAAGTCCTTTTGTTAACCGGCTAACAGATAACAAGTTACACGTGAAGTCCGGAACATATAAAACATCTCGGATTTCACTCCCGTTAGGTAAAGTACAAGTTCCTTTTCCCTTTACAGGAATAGAGTCGCCATTTGGTATTGTCACAGGTAATTCAAGTGATGGTTCAATATTGTTGTGAATAGAATCAAGAATGTGAGTTATGTGCTCGGTACAACCTGAGTCTACAACCCAATCGTTACCTTCATCAAATTTACCTGCCATGTTGGCTGCCGGTTGAGTAACATCAATATTCTGAGAATTTTTCGTTGTGAACAGATTGACAAATTGCCTATACTGTTCGCTGCTTAGTCCAGCTATAGTAATCTTTTCATCACCATGCTTATCATTCATTGAGTCCCGTTCTGTTTCAACAAAAGCTGCTTTCGCTTTTCCTTTTTCTGGTTTCCCTTTGCCGGGCCACCATTCCGGGTAACCGATCCGCTTGAAACAACCGTCGCGAGTGTGTCCGTCTTTCCCGCAAAAATCACAATGTTCAACTTTATCATTTCCTCCTCTTTTTCCATTTCTTGGACCCGTTTTTCTCTGTGACCAAACATCAGCATCATGTTTTATGTGAGCTTGAAACGCAGCTGTTTCACTATTGGTCCTTTTCCAGTTGAGATTGCCCGTTGCTGCTCGTCTTCTGCCACAAGGTGGTATGCCTCACCTAAAGTAGGAATAGGCTTCATTGCTAATATTTGGGTTCTGATCGTGGATAACTCACTGTCGAGTCCAAGTAAGAACTCGTATAATCTCTCCTTGTCTCTTAGTTCAGTGAGTCTTTTACTGATCCCACATTTGCAACCTGCACAAGAACATTTGGGTATATTAAAAACTGAACTTATCTCGTCCCAAAGTGCCCTTAGCTTGGTGTAATATGCAGAAACAGAAGCTCCGTCTTGCTTAGTTGTTGTGAGAAGTTGTTTTAGTTCATACGCCCTAGGTGCGCTTTCCTTCCCGAAGCGCTCACGGAGGTCGTTCCAGATTTCTTCGGCAGTGCTAGCATATTTGACACTAGATCTGATCTCCCTTTCCATGGCTGTAGTCAGCCATCCTTTAATCATGGCATCGCATCGAAGCCACCCCATGTGATTAGCGTGTGTCTTCTCTGGTTTCTGAAGGGTTCCGTCAACGAACCCTATTTTATTTTTCGCAAACAGAAAATTCTCCATTTCTTGAACCCAATCAAGATAGTTGTTGTCGTTTAATGTTTCATTCACATGCATTTGCCTAGGATAGTCTGACGGGTGAAGATAGTAAGGAGAGCCATGGTCGGATGATTCGTTGTCAGTCTTGTTTGATGAGCCGCTGTCATTGTCGTCTTCCCCAGCCATGTTGAATGGAGATGGTTATTTTAGGGTTTTGTTCAAGCGGTATGTAACCCGCTCTGATACCATATAAAATAGTAGAAGACCAGAAAATATTTTCTTCTATTGTATTCATTACAGAAAACACACAATATATATATAGAGGAAGAAAATAAGAGATCCTATCTTCAAGGCTAAGAAAAGGAAACACAATAAAGGATAGAAAAATACGTGAATAAGAAAAGGAAAGAATCAATGATTGGAATAATCCAAAAGACAAAAAATGAGGAATTGTGTGAAGCTCGTTGGGAGCTTTTTGATGTACGTAATTAAGGAGTTAATAGTTAGATAAGAATATAAGATATTGTTTGATGATTAATTTTGGTGTTATTTAATTAGGGTCTGAAGTCGTACCCAATTGGAGGTGATATAGGAACGAAGAGATCAATGGGGTTGGTGGATTCAAATCCTTTCTTTGTTGGATCCACTTCCAGTGTGAAGAAGGAGAATGCAACTAAATTGGTATCACATTGCAAGCAACTTGTTGAAGATCCAAATTGGTATCCGTTTACAAAGATGACACATTGCATGCTGTTTTAACAGGTATGATAGAGAGGAATCGGTATCACCAACATGGGAGGGATTTGATGGAAGAGCTATGGAATTACAGGGAGAATAGGTAGGCCACTCTGAGAGAAGGCATCGATTACCTTCTTAAAGAATGGAAGATTCATAAGCAACGGAAAAGGTAGTGAAGCTTAATTTGGTACCATTTCAATCTAACTTTTACATATTTTTCGTGTTCTTAGGTTTGGCAGAATTTTCAAAGCAATTGTCTTATGGATATTGATTATATATATTAACAAGATGAGTAGAAGATAACTAACGATGAGTTTTTAACCGAAAAATCAAACCAGAAGCAGAACTGATTAGTAGTATTGAATCCGGTTGTTGGTTTTCGAATTCATCATATTCGGTTTTCGGTTATTTCGCTTCCGCTTCCGGTCTTTTCTAGTAGAATCGAACCGGAACTAGAACCAGTTACTTGTATTCGCTCCTGGTACTATTTTTGTTTTCTCGTTCACTCATTAATCCGTCTTCTGTTATTTCGGTTCCGTTGTTGTTTGGTCCAGTTCTGGAACCGATCCCTAAAGGTAACTATTGAGTTTGAGACCGTTAGACATGAAGTTTTTTAAATTGCTTTGTGTAGAATTATATAAATGTCATGTTACTATTTTTTACAAGAAAAACACTTTGCCATGTTGGTATATGCTATTATTTAGATTTTAGGGTAGAAGTGTAGAACATATTAGTTGTTTTATTCTAAAATCCAAAGGTGGAAGGAGTGGTGGCATATTAAGCATAGTACGTTTTTGTGTGTCACATCATCACCCCTCATATTTACCACATATCTCCTAATTTTTATCATGGATAAGAAATTGTTTGTCTTTCCATGTTATATTTACTTTTTATATTTTTTGAACAATTTAACTTAACTGGAAATAAAATTGCTTCAACATTAGATTAAAAAGTAAATAACACAAAAATAAAATAAAAAAAGATAAAGAAAAAAATTATATGTTGATTTTTTTTCCGGCTTTTATAGCCAAAGCCAATTCACGCTCCTCACGGTTTAAATTACTCAAGTTTTGCATAAAAATCTTTATGTATGGGATTTTTCTTTTTTGTGCTCGTTTCTTAAGTGAACTCCGAGTATTTGTTCAAATTTGCATTTAGGCATGCAATCTTCGACCTCGCTTCTTCTTGGTCATCCGAAGTTGCCGCCGTTTTTTCTTTCTCCTTGTGTTAGGCTTTATCCCTTCCCATTGGACGGGAAGGTGGTGAAATCACAACAGTGGCATCATCGTTGATGTTAATCCCGACACGAGTTTCATTAATTAGGATGCTACCCCATAAAGCCCAACATGCATTGGCAAGAATGTCATTTTTACTAAAATTATCCAAGACATAAAATTACACTTTAACATGAATGTTAAACGGAAAGTGAGTTTTGAGTGTCTAAGAGCACCACATGCTTTTTCTTCTGGTTATCCCTATAAATGGTCTTGATCAACATATGTCACCAATGGAGTATCATACTATCCTTAAATGTCGCCTCATGATTCCACTATTTCCAATTGATAAGATATATCCACTTTGTCACAAGGCATGTTTAGATTTTTGGAAGCATGCAGTTCATTTTAGAGAGCTTATAGACTTCAAGTACCAACACGATATGATTAGAGACGTTCTTTTGATGTTTTTAAATAGACAAGGTTTCCATCAAAAAAGAGGCCCCTATAAACCCCTTGAAAGAAAAGGTCAATATCCAAGATTATATTCTCCATTGTATTGCTTCTTAGCTTCTAAGATTAAGTTGGTAAAAGCCATGGGTTTTTCAGCTATACATAAACCAGAGCAAAATGAACATAGAAGTATGTACATCCTTGATTTTTTTTAGTTTCTTCCTTGATTTTTGTGCTTGTAATATGTATGCTGTTCCTACACACCCTTGATTTTTTTTAGTTTCCGTTCATAAAGAGTGTCTTATGTTATTAGACCTTGCATGATGTTTTTTCTTCATACTTATGAGCATTTTCAGTGGTTTCTTTGATGACTAGCGCTAATTAAACATACGTGGTTTTAGTTACAAATTGGTATTTCTACATGACAATGGTTGACACAAACATAAAAGATGAAAGCCCAAAATCAAACTTAAGTCCTCAAAAGGATGTAGATCAATCAGTTATTCCACTGTCATCTACATCAAGTAGGTTAATCTCTCCCTCTTGACTTTATTAAGCATGCCAATAATGTACTTTGAAATGAAGTGTTTTTGCTTTATGAACTACATACAATATTGAAGAAGAAGAAGAAGAAGAAGAAAAAGAAGAAGAAGAGGTTGAAGAAGAAGAAGAAGAAGAAGAAGAAAAAGAAGAAGAAGAAGAAGAAGAGGTAGAATATTATGAAGAAGAGATAGAAGAAGAAGAAGAAGAAAAAGAAGAAGAAGAGGTAGAATATTATGAAGAAGAGATAGAATATTATGAAGAAGAGATAGAATATGAAGAAGAAGAAAAAGAAGAGGTAGAATATGAAGAAGAGATAGAATATGAAGAAGTGATAGAATATGAATTAGATGAAGAAACAAACAAGGAAAGTGTTGTGAAAGAAGATGAGAAGAAAGATAAAGAATCACAAAACAGTGAGGAATTAAATGAGAATTTAGAGAGTAAAGAAAAGAGAGGTAGATATAGGGACAAGAACAAGAACACAAAGACGAGTGTTGTGAATGGAGATAATAAACCATAATCATCAAGCAGAAAGAAAGGTTCAAAGAGAGTTGAAAGCATGGGGATGGTGTTCATGTGTAGTTCAAAAACAAAAACAGACTGTTTTCGCTACAAGATTCTTGGACTTCCTGCAAATAAACAAGATCAAGTAGCAAAGATTTATAAAGGAATGAGATTGTTTCTGTTTGATGTTGATCTCAGATTAATGTATGGAATCTTCAAAGCTGCTGGACCCGGTGGTTATAACATTGAACCAAAAGCTTTCAAAAATGAATTCCCATCTCAAGTTAGTATTCATATTGACTTTTAAAGTTTCTATTAAGAACTTAATATAAAACTAATGAATAATAATAACTTTTATTATTGAATTTCAGGTTCGATTTAGTGTGCTTGATGATTGTTTGCCAATAGCAGAAGAGAATTTTAAGGATGTCATTAAAGAAAACTACTACACACAGAATAACTTTGAAGGTCTCCTGAAAGCCGATCAGGTTCCTTATTCTGTTTTATAAAAATATACATTTAAAGAAATATTTATAAATTATGAAGGAATTTCACAGGTCAAGAAGTTGTGTAAGCTATTTACAGTTACATCAAAAGGACAAAACCGTCCTAAACCTGGTTTAAAACCCGGTGGAAGAACACAACCGATTGAAAATCATCGAATTAGATCCCATGAAAGACGTATAAGAAATAGGGAAGATGAATCTCGAGGCCAAAAAAAAACTCAAAATACGTGATCAAGAGGAAGAAAGACGTTTTCACCCTCGGTCCTGGTCCCTCTCCCCACCACGTAGAGAAAAACGACGGTGCAACGACTATGAACGACCGCCGGTTTTTTACCAGCATGATACCCCGATGACTGTCACCGTCAGACACCTACCGCCACCGCCACTTCTGGTAGCGTCTCTGGCGAGGTCATACACCTATGACCATCGCGCTTACCGTGAAGAGATTCGGGAACAGGAGGGGGACCCGTATTATGTGTTTTATAGAGAGGCTCCGGCTCCTACTGTATATGCTTTACCACCGGAGTACCACATTGTAAGTAGAGAGTACCACCATCCTCCACCTGCAGTCCAACCACCACCACCACCAGCGGAGCATCGGTTTTCTGATTACCGTGATGTGGGGCCACCGCCTGAATACCGTTCTCATCGGACACATTAACATATATTAGAGTTTTATTAATTATGTGAAATGTGGGACAACGTATTGTAATGTTTAGCTTTTGGATTTGGTTATGGAGGTTTAGTTTCTAAATTGTTGCAGTCACGTACTACGAAGAAAATATTTGATTAAATTTTTTGTGTTGCAATATCGTTTCTGGGTGTTAATTCTAAATATGATGAAGAGTAGTCTACGATTGTTGGAAATTTTGAAAAGCTTTGAGTGCATGTTCATACGATTTTCTATATTATTGAATTACCACGTTGCATTCTTGTGAGAAAGAGAAGGTGTAAAACATCCAAAAGTCAGGAAAATCTGTAAAATACACTTTAATAATCATGTATAATTATCGTGTCTTGTAAGGTAGATAGCTTAAAAGTGAATATTATTATATTATACATAAACAAGATAGTTTTATGAGATTTGAAGTAAAACTATGTTTAGAATCATTCATAAAGTGATCGGAAGTCTTATGATATTCCGATCAAAAAGTCAATTATTGAAATTAACGAACATGTAAAATTGAAAGTTGTAAATTATCTCGTTAGAAACGTTTAGGCGAAAACCTGATCGAAGTCCGAGTTATAACGAAGAAGTTATGACTTATCAAAGTTTAGCGACAGAACCGGCACGATGGTGTATGACGTAAAAAGTGAGTTTACGATAAACTACTTTTTAGCTTTAGTAATTTAAATGAAAGTCGTAGTATTCGTTATACCAAGAACTTTCATAAAAAGAACGTCCAAATCTGACTTAATATGAGGAAGTTATGATTTTTCTGAGATTCGACATAACATTGTACAACTCGAAATTTGAATTATAGATTGAGCAATTTTCAGCTGACACAATCTAAACGAGAACCGAAGATCTTGTTGATTGTAGTTCAACGGTAAAAAAAACAGACAAAAACGGACGTCGAATGAAGAAGTTATGAATTTTTAACGTACTTTTCCTATCCCGCCCTATTAAATATATAATATTATAAAGTGATATCAAAATTAGCCAACGGAGTCCAAACGAAAGTTGTAGAGCATAATTTCACCTACGCGTGGATATAATGAACGTCAAAACCGGAGCTCGTATGCAAAATATATGAATTTTTGATGTTTTAAGTACAAACTTCGAGGCTGGAAGAACACCCAACGTACCAAGGTGTACGCTTAGCGTACAGATATATGCCCAACGTACTTCGAACGTACACCCAATGTACTACGGACGGAGGACACGTATCATGCAGGTTTGACACGTCCGAGGTCCGGGAACCGATCAGATGCTACGCATCACTCTACGCGTAGCGTACCGGATTTACGCTTAGCTTAGAGCCACACAAAACAGTACGCCCCACGTATTCCAAGTTTACGCCCAACGTAACCTGGGGCTTCGGATAGTATAAATAGGGGTGCGAGGCTGCCGAATTAAGTTTACAAAAAACTTACATATTAGCACCCTAAACTCTCTTTCAAACTACCCTAACACCCCCCGAAGCCTACGAAACATCCCCAACACCCGAAGCAAGTCCCGACGTACTGAAGACCCGAGAAAATAATCTTTTCAAGTTGAAACTTTGCCCGCGCAAGGCCCGGTTTTCAACAAAAACCCCTGGTTTTATTAAAGAAAGTTATTTTTTAGACACGAAGTGCTGCCCAAATTATCATTTTATAATTCGATTATTTCACGGTGAGTTCAATATAGGGACAATTATATGTTATGTGTTATATGTTTAATGTGCTTTCCTAAGTTATTCTAGTTTTTATACCATTGATCATGTAGAGCATGACTTGTATCACTTCTGGTATTGGCTTTGAGCCTTTGGCCATGTAGAGCATGTCTCGTATTATTCTGGTATCGGATTTATGCATTTGGCCAAGTAGAGCATGTTTCGTATCACTTCTGGTATTGGCTTTGTGCCTTTGTCCATGTAGAGCATGACCCATATAACTTCTGGTATTGGCATAGGGCTATGTAGGGCTGAAAGCCTGTATATTCTAGCAAAATGATAATCCAAAATTTTATGTTCTATGCCACTTGGGATGAAGTTTTATTGATGTATATCAAGTTGAAATTTTTATGTCTCATTGATTGTAAATCTTTAAATCATATTATTGGTTGATTTGGAAAGCCTGACATATGATATACATATGCCTTTATTGTTCTTTGTCCCTCTTTGTTTATGTCATATTAATGTATATATGGCACATCATTATATTGTAACTGTTATGAAACTCACTAAGCGTCACTCGCATATCTTTCTCAGTATTGAACTATTGCAAGTGATAAACATCCAGTATAGTCATATACTTTTGGAAGATGTAGAATAGATAATATTATAACTTTTGTATTTAGTGTATAAATTCCTGAGAAGTTATGTAATATATAAAACTTTGTAAAAATCTTAATAGTAGGTTTGTGTCTAGACTTCTGTAAATTATATTATGAATATGCATATAGCATGTTTGGAGTAATAATATTGTAAAGGTATTAGAGAAGGGGTTTTGTCAATCATGGTATCAGAGTAGTAGTTTAAGTAAACTAAATCCCACAGATTAGTATTTAGACTTAAACTATTGGAAGTTCAATATATGAACGGATTTATTGTAAGAATATGGATACAAACCATAAGAAAGACTTAATTGACGTATTAGGTAATAATAAATCCTAATATTCTAAAATACTATATTACTCCAAAATTTCAGAGCAATGGATGAACAAGTGAGTAATCATTCAATAGATGCGAGTGGAGAACCTCATCCCGATGAACTAAATACTCCAATATCCCCTTGTGAGGAGCGACTCTTGGATAAATTTACTGGTGTTATTTGGCAGACTCTTGAAGACCACAAAAAGGATAGTGATAAAGTTAAAGAGAAAGCCACCGTAGAATCTTCAAAAAGGGAGATGAAATGTCCCCCATTTAAAACTTTCAAGAGTAATGGTGCTACGGAGTTTTTAGGTGTTCTTAATCCCAATGTTGTTCTTACATGGATCCATAACACAAAAAAAAGTATTTCGTATCTCTCATGTGGTTAATGAAGACAAGGCCAATTATTCTTCTACAATGCACATCGGAGAAGCCTTGGTCTGGTAGGAAGCAACATTCAAAGCTCTCAACAAGTATGACCAAGAGAATTTATATTGGGAAATGTTCAAAACTCGCTTGCTAGGAAAGTATTGTCCTCCAGACATAAGGAGAAGATTGGAGAAAGAATTCCTTGAGCTTAAACATGGAGGAATGACTGTGAATGATTATGAAACCTAATTCAATCAAAAATCACGGTTTGCTGCAAAGTATATTCCAACTGAAGACGATAAAATTCAGTTATTCATGGAAGGACTACGGTATGCAATCCATGATTTCGTGGTTAATCAGGATGTTCTATCATTTGATAAAGCTGTTGAGTATGCCTGAAAGCGCAAGCATGACTTAGAAATATGTGGTGTCACTCTTTCTGTTCCGAAGCATCGACGTGTTGATCGAACTGTTCCTGTTTCCTCTATTCCACCAGCTCAATCTGTTCAATCTGATCCTGGTAAACAAGTGCAATCTCATAATACCTCTCGTGGTCGTGGTTGGTCACGATCTTTTTCTCTTCAGTCGCTATCGTGTCGAAATTATAGAAAGAATCATCAGGGCGAATGCAGATTAAGGATCACTGATCTGTTATGGGTGTGCAGAAGTAGGCCACATGAAGCTCGTTTGCCTGATGAAGAATGTTACATGCATTGCTTGTGGTGTTACTGGACACAGGAAGCGTTTCTGCACTACTCTTATTAGTCAAATGGTGGGGAGTCCAGATTTCGTTCAACAACCAAAGAGTACTCCAACTAAAAAGGAGGAGGTGTCAAAAGCTAAAGGCCGTGCATTTTAGATTACCATAGAGGAGACACGCAAAGACCCGGATGTTGTGACGGGTACATTTCTAGTCAACTCTAGACATGCTCACATCTTATTTAATTCTGGTTCTTCAGATTCTTTTTGTGTCTCGTGAATTTGCGCGTTCCTTTCTAATTGCTTGCTATGCACTCACGCAACCATTTTATGTAGAAACTGCGGGAAATATATCATTACTTGCTGATAAAGTCTATAGGGATTGTGTCATAGAAATTGAAGGCTATAATTTTCTTGCTAACTTGATTCCTATCTCCTTACCCAACTTTGATATTATTCTCGGCATGGATTGGTTGTCAAAGAACTGTGCAGAACTCGTGTGCTATGAAAAGATGGTACACATTCCTATCGAAGGGGAGAATCCTATTTATGTCTACGGTGAACAAAGACTTAAAATCTTTAAAATAATTTCTTTCCTAAAAGCTCGTAAATTTATATCGAATGGGTGTTCTACTTATTTAGCCTATACAGTAGATATCTCAAAAGAGGGGAAGAAAACTGTAAATGATATTCTCGTTGTTAATGAATACACTGATGTTTTCCCCGATGATTTGTCTGGACTACCTCCAGATAGGCAAGTAGAATTCCGAATTATTCTTATACACGGTGTTGCTCCAATTGCAAAGACTCCTTATCGTCTTGCGCCAACAGAGATGAAGGAAATGATGTTCCAACTGTAGGAATTACTCAACAAAGGCTTTATTCGACCGAGTACCTCTCCCTAGGGTGCTCCAATATTGTTTTTCAAGAAGACAGACGAATCGATGCGAATGTGTATTGATTACCGTGAGCTAAATAAAGTTACTATCAAGAACAAGTATCCACTACCTCGCATAGACGATCTGTTTGATAAACTTTAGTGTGTTAGCTATTTCTCAAAGATTGATTTGAGGTCTGGCTATCATCAGTTGAAAGTACACGAACATGATGTACCGAAGACTGCTTTCTATGCTCGTTATGGACATTTTTAATTCCTTGTCATGCCATTCGGTTTGGCAAATGCTCCTGATGTATTCATGGATATGATGAATCGGGTATGTCATCCAATGCTTGATAAATTTGTCATCGTATTCATTAATGATATTCTAATCTAGTCCAAGTCTAAAGTTGATCA